TACATTTGGGCCCGAATCACTCCCGCTCTTCCTGCTAAGCAAAGTATCACTGGCTTTCACTGCTTGCGAGCTCTAATGGCTACTTAATCTTCTTCGTGATTTTCAGGTACCCCATTCTCAACCAACAACTCTCTTCTACGACAACTAGAGCGCCATATACATTGCTAAGAAACCTACTTTTCACGAACAGATGAAACACATTGAGCTTGATTGTTATCTTGTTCGTGAGAAGTTTCTGAACAACACCATCAAATTGATCCATATCTCCTCCAATCATCAATTGACTTATCTCTTCACAAAACCCCTCTCTCCAGCTTTGTTTCGCTACTTTCTCTCCAAGCTGGGTGTGCTCATGAATTTATACCACACCAGCTTGCAAGGGGTAACAGCTCGACCAGCAATGAAATTTAAAATAGATCTGTTCGAGGTTAAAGATGGAGAACATAAGACATGGCTAAACTGCACCGTTTTCGTCATAGCTAAAGTCTCAGTCCATTACGAAGCCGTTTTGTCTTTCCTTTCTTTAATTTAGAGCCAAGCCATGTACTTGTTTCATCTTCAAGTTAAAGAACATAATCAAAGCAATGAACCACTGATGTTGTGTAGTGGTATTTGTTGTGTATTTAATCCAAGAGATCAATGAGAATCAACAAGCCTCTAGGGTTTCACTATATCACAAACAAATTGTAATAGGGGGGGTCATTTTTGCGACCCCTTAGAGGGTAGTCGAGCTAAACCATCTCGTATATACTAGCATTTACTATATATACTATCTTTAAACAAATATTTAAGCTCACTGAACTTTCAACATTTATATAAAAGATTATCAACTCTCCGTCAAATTTTTTTCCCGTTTTGTTTAATTGAATAAAATATTTTTTTTAACAAAAGTTAATTATATTGATTGAAAAGAGATATGAAATTACACCTTGGATCCAACTCAGCCACGAAAATCATATAGTCGACACATAGCCGGAGACAAAGAATGGGCCTTTCTAGCCACAGAATGTGCTACCCTATTGCTATTCCTACCTACGAACCGAACAGGAAACCCACTATTCGGACCCATCAGACTGAGTATCTCATTGATAATAACCACAACACGATTATCCCGTGCATCTTTGGCATTAATCTTATCAATGAGTATCTTCGTATCACATCCAAACCGAACTTGAGGGATGCCAAGAGTACACTACTTAATAGATTCACGGAGGACAATAGTCTCAACCACAAGAGGATCGACAATTTCATCATAAACCAAACCTTTCTCTAATATCACATTTCCACCGCCATCCTTCATGATCATCCCTCCCACTAAATGTGACCCATGCCATACCGCATCGTTCCACATACAGACGAAGGTTGGCACATCCATCTCCTCGTGATGGTGCTGCGAAAGACCCCATCTCTGGACCAATCTATCCTCTTGTAAAGACACCCACTCATGCAGATGCTTATGGTATTGACGCATCAAGTGGGAAACTAAGAACTGCTTACCATCGAAAGACGACCAATTCCTGGATATACAAATGCGCCACGGGAGCGCCACCACGACCATAACTTGCTCCGACTGGGTCAACCTAAGCAAGTACTTCTTAAGGAACAAAGAGAAGGTTTGTCTATGAAAATCTTGGCCTAGATGGTCCAAACCCGAATGGTGCCAGAGAGCTGCAGCGGCTGGACACTCCCAAAAAAGGTGTTCAATCATTTCAGACTCTGCCCAACAAACAAGACATCTTGGCAGAACCTGGACCCGCTTCTCAACCAAGGCTTCCATAGTAGGCAGGATACGACTAAGGATTTGCCAGAGGAACCACTTAAGTTTAGGTGGCATCTTGAGGTCCCACATTCTTATCCAACTTGCTCAATCCATCCAGCTCACCCTGTAGCCCCACACCCTATGCACCAGAGCCGCTAGATGGTACGCGGATTTGATAGTAAACACGATATCACAAGTATCATGTCATACCAGCCTATCCTCAATACTCGTTCTAGGCAAGGGAATTGCCAAGATGTACCGAACCACATTAAAAGGAAACAGCTACTGAAGCGTTTTTCGACACCAACCACCCTCCGCAGGGTCTATAAGCTCTGTCACTTTAGCGTCGGTGTTCTCCGGAATGACATGAGGCTGACACACAGGAGGGTGGGGATGAGCAGATGGAACCGAGCTGGAATGATGTATAGAGGCTTGGGCCCCATTTTCAATCTGCCACCGAAGTTCTCGCTGCAGAGTTGCCGGCCATGGTGGATACTCTGCCACCCCCACGATGGGCGTGACTGAGCAACCGCTGTTAGAAATGTCCCTTTTGGAAAGCAATTGAAAGTAATTAAGAACATTAAAATTATGGAAACAAAAAGTGGAAAATTGTCCAATAATAACCTGCCATATGGAGTGTAGGAGGTAGAGGTGGCAATTTTCAGTCCAATCCAATCCAATTAGAGGTGGCAATTGGATCGGATTCGTGGATTGGATTGGTGGATCCATGGATCAAATGGATTGGTGGATTCATAGATTGGATCAAATGGATTGGTGGATTGATCCATGAATCCAAATGACATGCAAGGCTTGGACCAAAATGTAAATTTTGAAAAGTTTAGGTACTAAAATGTCATAATGAAAAATTTTAGGTACCAAAATGAAATTTCCAATGATTTTTTTGTATAAAAATATAAATTTTAGGTACCAAAATGTAAAATATAAAAAATATAGATACCAAATCGTAATTTGCCATTTGGATCCATGGATTGATCCATGAATCCACAAATCCAATTGGATTTGGATCAAATGGATTGGATTAAGTGGATAATTTGGTGGATGAATTGGATTGGATTCATGAATTTTGATCCTAATTGCCACCTCTAAATCCAATCCAATCCAACCTATCCACTTAATTACCTATAACTTAACTATCTAATTACATTATCTAAATCCTATATTCTAGTCCTAATACTTCCGATTATTGACAAATGGGTCCATTTGTCCTAATACACCTTTTGTAAAACTATCTAAGGATCTCCAAATCAATGGGTATCGGCCGGCGATTCGGCAGACATTCGGCCGGGGGGATCTTCTAAGATGTCGACCTTCTTCTATTCCCTTAACTGCAGGCTCAAGTAAGCTGGGAGTTTATTCCTTTACGTCTCCTTGTGGATGTGGTTATATATACGGCTGTGGTCTGTGGACAGTGGAACCTCCTTGGCTCTTTTATGCTCTGTATCACTACTTCCCTATGTCGCCTTGTGGTTATATACGGCTATGGTACCATTCTTCCTTTCGCTTCCCTACGTAGCTAGTATCTTAAATAATGCCTGCAGCATCTTGCTATTCTAGTATTAAAAAAACATAGAAACAAAAAGACATACGTATCAAAATACGGTTTCTAGTATCAAAGAAAGCATAGACTCTACTCACCCACGAGCCACGACTGGACTATTCTACGGGCTGGTGAGACTGTTCCACTACCATATGATTTGCACTCTCTTTTTGCTGCTTTTGCCGCACTGTTCTGTTCTTAATTCCGCAGCAACTTAGAATTTAATGGACCTTCCCAATCCCAAGCATCTTCCTCATCTAATGGTTCATGCCATCTTTGGCGTCACATGAAATTGACCACGAAGACACCTGGCATCTTTGTTTTGATGATGAGATGATGAGGGCCAACTTAATTATAGGAAATGAGTTGGATTTGGTTAACCAAACCATTAAGTATGAAAAACTAAAATAAAAAAAATCAACATGTACTCATACACTCATATTTATTCTCATTTCCTTCTTTTTTATTGAATAAACATCATAATAATGGTAAATGGCCATTACAAATTATTGGTTGGCATGCGTGTCAAAAAAACAAAAAACAAAATATATTTGTTGATAAATAATTTTATTCTTATTGGTTTCTTAATGGTTTCTATTAGGGCTGGCTATTTGGTCCGACACCGGATGTAAAACCAGAAACCGGACCGTATAACCGGCTGACTATTTTAACATAAACTAAGACCGTCAAACCATAATTATTAATTTTACATATGCTTCCGCTTATTATTTTCCAACCTTGTTGTCGACTTTACGTTGTCCACTATTGATTGGCACCATAATTTTAATTTGAATTAAAAAAATTATGATTACTTTTATGAGATAGTTTGAATGATTTAGTAGATATTTAGGTGATGATATGAATTTGAAATTATTTATGGTCAACGATAACTTTATTCTTAAATTTGTGTAATATACAAGCCTATATCATGAACGGTTCTATCAATGATTTTTTGTAACGGTTAACCACTGAACCCTAAACTTCTGACTTTTTCGGTTCAGTTTCCGATCCGGTTGTGAAAATAGAGGCTTTATGGTCTAAGATAAGTCAATACATGGATTGAGGTGAAGAAAACGGGTATAAAGAAAACAATAATCTACTGTCCGCTAGCGTTGGACCATCAATTGATGGCGATCAATAAATAAAGATGATGGTGAAATTACAGTTTCGATATTAGCTTATTTTCCCCGGGAGAAGAAATATTATTGATGAAAAACAAACAAAAGGGTACAGAAGAAAATTAAGGATAATAAATTAACTGACATAATAGGTTTAACCAATTCTAATTAGGTGATAGGTTAGAGATCAAGACCGTGATTTAGGGGTCGTTTGGAGAATATGAGTTTAAATCTATAGATTGTCAACAATCTAAAGATTCTAACTCTTCGGATTGTTGAAAATAGATTTTAAAATGGTTATTGTTTGGTAACTGTGATTGTTAACATGTATCTCACGACTGCAATTTAGCCGGCATGCATGGGTGCCGCCACGGCACTACAGAAATTTCCATAAACATTGAGAGGGCCGCGGGGTCTGCCTCTTAGTTCCCACATGGCATGGGCACACGGCTAGAACGTTTGGTGCTCCCGGTTTTCAACTCACACTCTAATTAATGATCGTTTGTATATAATCTAATCCCAATCAGTCTTTAGTCTCTCGATCATTCATATCCATTACGTAAAAATGGCGTACTTCGTCCTCCTCCTTCTCCTGGCACCCGCCATAGCCCTCGTGTTGCTGCTCCGTAACCAAAGGCAGTCGCTTCGACTTCCCCTAGGCCCCAAACCCTGGCCCGTTATCGGCAACCTCCTTCAAATCGGGCCCATGCCCCACGCCACCTTCGCTCGGCTGGCCCAAACCCACGGCCCGCTCATCTCCCTCCGCATCGGCACCCAGCTCCTAGTCGTGGGGTCCTCGCCCGATGCAGCTACCGCCATCCTCAAAACCCACGACCACCACCTGTCCGGTCGCAGCGTCCCCCACGTGTCCTTCGCTCGTGACCCGGACCTGAACCGGGACTCCATAGCCTGGTCCACCCACTGCTCCGACCAGTGGAGGTCCCTACGCTCGTTGGTTCGAACCGAGCTGTTCAGCACCAAAGTGGTCGCGGAGGATGGCCGGCAGTCCATGATACGGGAGGACAAGGCTCATGACATGACGTCGTTTCTGTCCAAGAACCATGGAGAGGAGGTTAGGATCAGAGAACTGGTGTTCAAGTTCACCTTCAATGCATTAGCTAACGTGTACATGTCGGCGGATCTGATTGGCGATGAGTGGGCTCCGAGCCGGGTGGTCAGGGATATGATGGAGCTCCATGGTGCTCTAAACATCTCGGACTTGTACCCGGCGTTGGCCTTTCTCGATCTTCAAGGTCTCAGGAAAAGAACGGCCGAGTGCGTAAGCAAGCTTCGCGAGCTATGGGATCCAATCGTCTTCCGAAGGAGGGAATTAGCTAGAGGTAGAAATAACAGTAGTGGTAGTATCTCTAGTTCCGATTTTTTGGACGTGTTGCTCGACTCCGGATTTTCTGACGACCAGATCAGCTACACCTTTGTGGTAATTTTCTAGTTTCTTTTTTTTTATTTTTTATCATGACGAGTAGTCAACGTGCTAATTGTATGAAGTCTTTTACTCAACACAATACTTATGGTTGCAAGCAGGAACTCCTGGCAGCAGTATCAGATACAACTAGTGCTACTATGGAATGGGCAATGTCAGAACTCATCGCGAACCCGAAAACCTTGACTGCATGTCGTCAGGAGTTGGACGACAAGTTCCGCAAGGGCGACACCGTCAAGGAATCGGATCTAGCCCAATTACCATACTTATGTGCATGCGTGAAGGAGACCTTACGACTCCACCCTCCGGCGCCACTGTTGCTGCCACGTCGGGCAGCCAAGGACTGCCACGTCATGGGCTACACCGTACCTAAGGATGCTCAAGTGTTGGTCAACGTGTGGGCGGTCGCGAGGGATCCACGTTACTGGGAGGAGCCTTTGCGGTTCAAGCCGGAGAGGTTCGTCGAGGGTGGTTCTGAGAGTGACGTGAATTACAAAGGCAATCACTTTGAGTACTTGCCGTTTGGGAGTGGGAGGAGGATTTGCTCCGGGCTGCCCATGGCTATGAGGAAAGTCCAGCTGGCGGTGGCAACGTTGGTTCACGGGTTCGAGTGGTCGCTGCCGGCGGGAATGGTGGCGGAGGATTTGGATATGGATGAGAAGTATGGTGTCACGTTGATGAAACTTAACCCACTGGTTCTCATCCCAACTCCAAGGGATTAAGTATTGTTCGCTTATGAGTGGTGCTTTCATTCCCATGCTTGTCTTTTATCATCTTCTCGTAATTTTTTTTATATATATGAAGAAATAGTAGTAATAGATTTTCGTATATGTTTTAAATTGAATTTTATTAATGCTATTGAATTTCATATAGGTCATTGCAAACAATTGTTCATGATCCTAAGGACCACAAATCACAACTTGATCGAGAATATAAATAAATTTATAACCACTCATTAATTATAAGTGACACGATCAAGGTTATCAATCCATGCGTTGATCCATCGGTCGACCTGGTTTGACCTGAACCCGTCAGTAAATTCGAGTTCTAGACAGCCGGCTTGGAATCAGTCCAGACATAGCCAACCTCGCTCAAAACCAAGCAAAACCAATAGGTTTGACCGGCTGAACGATTCCATTCGCGGGGGAGAGTTCAATGGGTCCGCTACTTCGTGTCTTTACTGTGTGGGCGGTAAGCAATTTATATCTAATTTATATATAATTAATGCTCGATAGGCCGTTCACCGAACAGGAAATCTGGTTGGGTTTACGCGACATTGATGGAAGTAAAGCTCCCGGTCCAAACGGTTTACGATGGAGTTCTTTATAAAATGTTGACAGTGGTTAAAAAGGAGATGTTCTGACGGCGTTTCAAGACTTTCATGGGGTCTGAATTCCTCCCTGATTGCGTCACTCACTCCTTCGTATGTTTAGCTCCTAAGAAAGATACTATCGAAGATATTAAGGAGATAAGGCCTATAAATTTGATCGGGAGCATTAACAAGTTGATCAGCAAGGTTCTCTCGAAAAGACTCAACCTAGTGCTGCCGAATTATATCTCACAACATCAACTTTCTTCAGTTAAGGGGAGGCAGATTACGGAGGCGGGTCTTATCGCCAATGAGCTGGTTGACAGTAGAAAGAAGAGCAGTAAGGTCGGCCTTATCTTTAAGCTCGATATAGAGAAGGCCTTCGACAACGTGAACTTGGAATGTTTGTTCAAGATTCTTTCAGGACTGGGATTTTTGGAGAAATGGAAGAGTTGGATAAAGGGATCCATGTGTTCTTCTATGATATCTATTTTGGTTAACGGTGAAGCAAAAGGGTATTTCGAAGCTTCTAAAGGTCTTCGTCAGGGCGACCCCCTTTCATCGGGGTTGTTCATCTTAGTGATGGATGTTCTGTCTAGGATGCTGAAAGTACTCAGGGAAGCTGGAAAATTCGAAGGATTTTACATGAACGAAGACACCAAAAATGACGAAGTTACTCACCTCCTGTTTGCCGACGATATAGTGATATTTTGCGACGCCCATCACGACCATGTTCTGAATATTTTGGCTACTATTGTGTGTTCCAGTCCGTGACCGGTTTAAGGATAAATCTGGACAAGTCGGTGATGTATACTGTCGGCGATGTTGCTGATCCTAGTTTCTATGCTGCTATTTTTGGGTGCAAATGGAGCAGAGTTCCTTCGAAGTATCTAGGCTTCCCACTTGGAGCCAAACAGAAGGATCCAGCAATTTGGGACACCTTGATCGACAAAATGAAGAGTAAACTTAACGGATGGGGGTGCAGACATTTATCATACGGAGCTAGATTGGTTTTGTGCACCGCGGTTCTAGGGAGCATGCCTACGTACCTGTTTTCCCTATTCAAGGCACCTACTTCGGTTCTCCAGGAATTGGAAAGAACTCAGAGGAGGTTCTTATGGAACGGTGGGCGAGACATCAATAGAAGGGACCTCGTGGATTGGAAACTTTGCAAAAGCGAGAAAGTAAGGGCGGGCTGGGAATTCATGATCTTAAATCCTTCAATGATGCAATGTTGACCAAGTGGTTGTGGCGGTTTGCAACGGAGAGGGATAGTTGATGGCGTAAGCTTATCGATATCAAGTACCACAACCCCTCTTCGATTTGGCAAATGCAAAAGGTTAGAAGTGGTTTTTCTCAATCAGTGTGGGCAAACATAACGAAAGAATACGAGTTATTTTGGAAGTTTGCAAGCCTGGACCTGGGAAATGGTACCATGATCTCGTTTTTGCATGACGTTTGGAACCAGGGGATGGTGCTATCTTCTGCATTTCCCCGCATTGCTGTTGCCGCAGTCGACTCCGAAGCAAGACTTTCTGACGTAGCATCCCTCAATGGTGAGTTGGTGAGTTGGTCTTTTAATCTTAAATATAATTTGAGGGGAGGTGCTGAACAGGAAAGGGTAGATTTGTTGAATTTTCTTAATAATATTCCCATGAACAACAGTTTGTCATGTGCTCAATAAAGAGAATATCGAATTCGTTTGCAAGTTTGTCAAGGGTGAGGGGGCAAGGATATGATGGGGCTAGTAACATGAGAAGTGAAATCAATGGATTGAAATCCTTGATCTTGGCTGAGAATTCATCTGCTCATTACATTCATTGCTTTGCTCATTAACTTCAATTGACATTAGTTGCTGTTGCAAGAAATCATGTGCTCAATAATCGCTTCTTTGAGCATTTTACTTTATTGCTCAATGTCATTGGGGGATCACCTAAGAGTGTTGATTCTCTTCGAGATAAGCATGCTACAAGAGTTATTGAGGCTTTATCTGTTGGTGATCTAGAGAGTGGACAAGGATTGAATCAACAAATTGGCTTGAAAAGGCCTGGTGATACACGTTGGGGATCTCATCTTGGGGCACTTAAAAATCTTATGGACATGTTCAGTTCAGTGGTTGATGTATTGAATGAGTTACAGTGTGGTTGTTCACCGGAGATTCAAGGTAAAGCCATTAGTTCTCTACTTCAAATTCAAACTTTTGAGTTTGTCTTTCACATGAAGTTGATGATTGAAGTGCTTGCAATTACAAATGAGTTGTCTATTGCAATACAAAGGAAAGATCAGGACCTTGTTAATGCTATGGAACTAATTAGATGTTCAAAGAAGAGATTGCAAGAGTTGAGAGATGTAGGATGGGAGCCTCTACTTGATGATTAGATTTCATTCTGCATTATGGAACAAATTAATGTTCCTAATATGAATGACTTGTTCACTCTTGCTGGAAGAACAAGGCGTAGTACCCCTCATCAGCCCACAACTTGCATCACTATCAAGTCGAGCTATTTTATGAAGTCATTGGTATGCAATTGCAAGAATTGAATACTCGATTTGGTGAGGTGAATACTCGATTGTTGGACTGCATTTCTTGTTTTAGTCCAACTAACTATTTTGCTGCATTTCTTGTTTTATCCTAAGGAATTCCCATCCAATGTGCACTCAAGACTTGATCAGCAATTAAGGGGCTACATTTCTCATGTCAAGGAAGATAAGAGCTTTGATGGATTGCGGGGAATTGACGAGCTAGCTAGAAAATTGGTGGAGAGAGAAAATGATACTTTATATCCTTTATTTTCTTGCTTCTGAAGTTTGTGTTGGCTTTACCTGTTGCAACTGCAAGATGTGAAAGAGCATTTTCAGCTATGAAGATCATCAAGAACGATCTTCGGAATCGGTTGAGTGACCAATTTATGAATGATTGTTTAGCTGTATATATTGAAAAAGTTTGTTTTGCAGTTTAAACGATGAATGTATTCTAGAAACATTTCAGAATATGAAAAGTTGTCGTGGTTCGTTGTAAACGTGACATTATGAACTTATGAATTAATTTCTAATAATTTTTATTTAATTATTTTATTTAATTTTTAAATTTTTTTCCGGCGACACCACTCTTCGACAATTCTGGGTCCGCCACTGACCATTGGTAATGGAGAAGAGAATGAAGAGGAGAGTGAGAGCTATTGGGACATATATGATGAGGAGACGAGAAGGTGTCCATCGCCATGGCTCTCGAGTAGTGGAGGTGGGTTGTTGTGGAAAATGATCACGAATAGCTGCCATGGATGAAGCTTGGAGGGATTTCTTCGAGTTTTAAGATGTCATTAGAGAGATACTTTACGTGGTTGATCGATATTTCTGAACATGGAACTGTCGTGCGACACCCAATTCTCCTTGGAAGGCCTCTCGACGTCGTACCAGGACTAGTTGATGCGCGGGGCGGTGAGTGGTGAACGGGTCTTCGATGAACGTGAACACGAGCTTGGCGTTGATTGAGTCGCTGAGCTGTATGAACCAGAATCTCCACTGGAAGCTCCATCAGCAAAGATTGGCTTTGCTTTTCGGAGACAACACTACCGATGCTAAGGATTGCGGTGGTGGGCCCACAGGTATGTCACGCTAGTATGAATATGATGTTGACCGCCACATCATCAAAAGTTAACGAAGACTAACGGCCAGTGACCAAACTTGAACCGTTAACCTAATTTAAGTGACTACGAATGGAATAAATTAATTTTAGTGGCAAACGTAAACTTTTTAATTAATTCTAGTGACCAAACTTGCAATTTAACCTATAGAGAACTTATACGATCTGCAAACCAAAAAATTGTTGAATCAAATTGTAAAGCGAACATACAATTTTATTAGAAGATAAACAAGATCAAATACATTGTTTTTATCTTCAAACTCGCCTGACACTTCCTAACTACAACACCTTCCTAGTAACCCCACGAAATCATTCTTCCCTATAAATAATAATAATAATAATAATAATAATAATAATAATAATAATAATAATAATAATAATAATAATAATAATAATAATAATCATCTATCCTCTCTCTCCCCCACGAGCAGACTTTTCATCTTCATCTCTCTCTAACTTCTGCGCCTTCCCCGGAGTAGAGGCGTTGGGACTAGTTCTTGATCAACCCTCCCCTTTGCCCTCCCCCTTCCATAGAGACACACTCACACAAGTCCATCGCCTTTGACCGCCCTCAGCCGGTGAGTCGCGAGCCTCCCTTCCTCCGCTGCGGTGGTTAACACGAGAAACCCCAAAAACCATATTATTCCCTCTCTTATCCCGAACAAGTAGCTAACTCTTATGAGACTTTGAGGAGGGGAACAAAAGCAAAAACAAAAAAAAAAAAAAAAAAAATCCATATCTAATTAGTAAAAACCCATTTAGAATCCAATCCAAAACATACAACTGAACACCTTTTCTCAAACACACAAGGAAAATGTCAAACAAAACCTAATCCCAAACCCAAACAGAATAGGCCTAAAACACAAAACAAACCCAAATCAAATTCAAGTCGTATTCTAACAGGTTTCTTGTTTGCTTTTTACTGGGAGAGAAAAGAAAGAAAAGGAAGAGGATGATGGAGATGATTAGAGGGATAGAGTGGCTCCAGTAATAAGTCCGCTATCCACGTCTAAAACAAAACCCTTATAATAGCTCGTTGATTAAATAACATCTACGGAGGAAACAACCTATAATTTTTTACCAGACCTCACTTGTCATGTCCCTTCAGTAATTAGGACCCAGCCTGATTTACAGTACGTAGAAAACAATGCTATTATTGTAATCAAACGGGACCGATTTTAGGGATTGTAAGTTTGGGAAAGTAAAGCAGAAGAAGAGGGAAGAAGATCGAAAATGAAGGAGAAGTCCTTCAGTGTTTTCGTTCTGATTCTCCCCTTCAGTTTGGGCCAGAGCTTCTCAAGCCCACTCGAAATCTATGAGCAGAAAGCCAACATTGAGATAGGCTTGAGGATTGGTGAGCCCAGCCGAGCAGACCAATAGTGAACACTTAGGTCTGTTTTCTTCCTTGGATCAAAATCCTTGGAAAACAAAGAATTGAAATGGAAGATGAAGCACGAAAAGAAAAGTGCAGAAATCTAAAGAACACACGATATTTTTAACGTGGTTCACCTGGTGCAATAGGCTACGTCCACACCTACGACTCTATTTTTATTTTCTTTACGATCTAACTTACACATACAAAAGAAGCAAATCGAAACAAGACTCAAAGAAAGAAATTCTAGAAATAAAGTAGAATGACGAATAAGCAACCCAAATTCCAAACTCCGGAATTTGTATCAGCCACTAGCAAAGAACCTCTTCCCCTTTGCTAAACCCTTTTGTTTAGAAACCCTTTTCCGTTGTTCCACAAAAGTGCCTTGAGGTAATGTGATTCAGTCCCTTTTATAGATGAGGAGGTGAAGATTTGTGTGAGTTGGAAACACCTCGTCTTTCCTTATTTGCAACGCTTGATTTAGGGAGCGATTCTTGAGCTGATTATGTAATCAATCAGTTGATTGATTTTGACTTGATTTCCAAGCTTCTAGTGATGTTGATTTACTCCCAACGAGCTATTTTGTCGACTGTCTCTGATTTCCCAAATCTTTCTACAATTACTGGACTCCTACACTTGGCTTCGTTTATCGAGGGACACAGTACAGTTACAACCAACACCAGCCTAAGTACATGACTCTTTTTTTTTAAAAGTTAAGTACATGACGAAGTTCATATGGAATTTCTCTGCATGTTGAGTGGCAAATAGTTCTACAATCAATCAATGTTAGCTTGATTTCCATTTTGCTTCTCAAAAGATAGGTTCGTCTAGATTTCTAAACTGGATCGTCTGATTCTGATTGGAGAATGTCAGAACAGAAGCGTGGAATTGATAATCCAAACCAACACGAACGAACACAAGTTTAACGTGATTCACTAACACAATGTGTGCTAGCTAATCCACGGGCAGGGGGGACAAATTTCACTAATTTGAAGAGAGTACAGGTTACAAACCAAATTCCAAACGGACAAATAAAACAAACTAACCTGACTGACCCTTACTACAAACTAGGGTGACGAAGAGTATTTATAGAACTCTTCTCTTAACCACAAACAGAAAACCAAACACATTTTCCCAAACATACAAGGAAAAGGCCAAAACAAAGTCCAAACACAAATGCAAACAAAATAGGCCCAAAACACAAAACAAAACCAAATCAAATTCAAGTCATATTCTAACAATCTCCACCTTGACTTGAATTCTCTCTCAAATACCAGATGTACCAGACGCACCCAAAGTTGCCAGATGTACTAAACGCAACCAAAGTTGCCAGATGTACCCAGACGCGATACATATCGCCAGACGTATCCAAATGGGATCGAAACCGCTAAACCCAAATGCAATCAAGATTGTCAGACATATCCAAATGCGATTCATATCGCCAGACCAAACGCGATGCAAATCGCCAAACTCAGATGCAATCAAAATTGTCAGAAGTACCAAACTCTCCAAATCTCCAATTGTATCAGAACCTCCCCTGCCTCCAAATGCCCCTAAGGGCGGTTAACAAATCAAAACATGCACCAAGTCCAACCAATGTTGGGACTTGCCATGCAGAACCAACTTGGTGTTATTTCCTTGCATAACACCAACATCAAATTTACTGCTAACTCCAAGCATGCAACACCAAACTGACTTCTCAATCTTCAAATCCAGAACAAACATCCTTGGTGATCGAAAACCCTGATCACCACCAAGGGCGACAAACAGAATTCTCCACAAACCACAAGCTATTACCGAACACAATAAATTCAAGTAATTGCTTCCAAATTCCAATTGTTCCGCCAACTAGCTCTCTGCCGCAAATTCCAAATTTTCTTCTCAAAAAACCAAACGATGCAACTCTCTCCTGATACCGTAGCAGTCACCAAAATCCCTAGCCAATTGCCCAACCGATCAACCAGGCTCTGATACCACTTGTGAGAACAGAAGCGTGGAATCTATAATCAAAACCAACACGAACGAACACAAATTTAACGTGGTTCACTAACACAATGTGTGCTAGCTAATCCACGGGCAGGGGGGACAAATTTCACTAATTTGAGGAGAGTACAGGTTACAAACCAAATTCCAAACGGACAAATCAAACAAACTAACCTGACTGACCCTTACTACAAACTAGGGTGATGAAGAGTATTTATAGAACTCTTCTCTTAATCCCAAAAAGAAAACCAAACACATTTTCCCAAACATACAAGGAAAAGGCCAAAACAAAGTCCAAACACAAATCGAAATAAAATAGGCACAAAACACAAAACAAAACCAAATCAAATTCAAGTCATATTCTAACAGAGAAATTGTTAGATGATTTCTCTCCTTTTACTATTAGTGAATTTTTTTAGTTTCAAATTTCAATAAATCGAGATCTACTATATACGATAATTAAAAAAAAATTCTTTTGATAAAGTCGACAATTCATCTTTTCATTAATGCATCAAATATAATAAAATCGATTAGCATCTCATACATGATAAACTTCAAGCTAAGGGCGTATCTGCCATTCATCTGGTTGATAAAATACAAACATATTCACACGAGCCTAGCTCGTGATTAGTTCCATATATGAACTTATTTTTGTTACTGCATGAAATGTCTAGTAGCATCCAAACCAACATTGAAGATCTCATAATGAACTCTGGCAGGGAACAAGAAGCAGAGGTAGTTTCTTCTGCAGCGTGAACCCAGACTTCTCACTCATATCCAGCTCCGCAGGATCTCGACCATCAGGGAGGCCCCAATCGAAGCTCCGAACCAAAGTAGCCAAAACCAATGAAATTTGTCTGGCTGCCAATGACACTCCGGGACACATCCTTCTCCCAGCGCCGAATGGCAGCAGCTCGAAATCTTGCCCTCTAAAATCCACCTTCGAATCAATAAACCTCTCCGGCTTGAACGATTTTGGGTCATCCTCCCACACTATCGGATCCCTGGAAATCCCCCACACATTGACCACAATCTGAGCCCCTTTAGGGACCGTGTAACCCATCATCTCACAACTCTCCGATGCTCTGTGCGGTAGCAGCAGTGACGTCGGAGGGTGTAGCCTAAGTGTCTCCTTCACGATTGCGTTCAAGTATGGAAGTCGGGACACGGCAGATTCATCGATTAGCGGTTTTCTCTCGACCAGTTGCGACTTCAGCTCCTCCCGCAACTTGTCCATCGCTCCCTTGTTTCGAATCAGCTCTGTCATCGCCCATTCTGTTGTTGTCGTGTTAGTGTCCGTGCCAGCCGTGAACAATTCCTTCGAGAAAATTGAAGGAAAAGTTAAACTCAAGCTAATATTGTGGCGTAAAACAGAAAATCGGATTGAAAATTTTTACTTTTTCTTTTGAACTTACGAGACTCAACCAGTCAATCTGGTCATCATCAAGTCCATTTTCCAGGAAAATATCTAAGAAGTCTTGAGCACCATATTGCTCTCTTTGACGGCGCTCTCTCCTCTCTTTGACGTAAGGCTGCCAGACTGAGTAGAGCTCATTGCAACGGCGAAATGCCTCACGTCTCAGCCCCTGAGGATCCAATTTCTTCAGGAATGGGAAAAAATCGGCGAGATTAGGGCAAGTCCCCAGCTCCGTCAACCTTCGAATCAGCGACTTCAATCGATTTGCCGTCTCGCTACTTTCGAACCCGATGTAATCTCTCGACAACATGAGATTCGACAGCGAGTCGAAGATCGCAGCAAAAACCACTTCACCTATGCTAACCGTCTCCCCTAGCTTCCCCTCGAGAAATTCCACCATCTGGGCAGCCTTCCTCTCCCTGACGGCGGCCTGAGATTCGATGGCCTTCGCCGAGAAGATCTGGTTCCTGCACATTGCTCGTAAGGCCTTCCACTGGTCGTTGCTGCAGTTGGAAGCCCAAACGATGGCCTTGCGTTCGAGCTCCATCGTTTCATAAGGCATGACCGCGGGAATGAATCTGGCGGAGAGGCGACGGTCGTGGGTTCTCAGGATTTCGGCAGCGGCCGCCGGGGAAGATGCAACAATGAGGAGCTGGGAGCCGAGGCGGAGGGAGATGAGAGGACCGTACAGCTGGGAAAAGTGTTGGAAGGAGACGTGAGGTTGCTTGCCTAGTTGATGGAGGTTGCCGATGATCGGCCATGGCTTCGGGCCAGGAGGCGGCGGGGGCTTGTGTTTGGAAGCTGTGCTGAGAAATCGGGAAACGGAGATGACGATGAGGATGGTGATGGAGAGTGGGAGGAGGAGAAGATAGATAAATGCCATTTTGCTAAAGGTAATTGGATACCGGCTGTTATTGGAGCAGAGATATCTGGTGGGCTTTTTTATACAGCCACCGGGCCGGTGACATTTGATAAAGTCTAAATCGGTCGGATTCGACAACTCCGGCCAGTAAGCGTGATGCATAAGATCGAGCTGTTTGTCCGTCTCTCTAGCATCTTAGCATTTGATAAAGCCCGGAAATGAAGTCCAAATCAGTCGGATTCCACAGCTCCGGCTGTCCGACTCTCTAGCATTTTTTTAGCGTTTTGTTTTCTATGTATTTATTTGTCACCGAAAGTTGAATAAGTCTATACACAAAATGGAACGGAACGATCTTCTTAGAGGAGAATTGCAAACTTGACATTTTTGGTTACCAACTATTATTTTTGTGTAGTGATTAGCAATATGATCAAATTTGATATAATTATATGTATATGCATAAAGAAGCATGGAACGCTCATTTTAGCGGATTGTTTAAACCGTATATGATTATGGTATTTTTTATAACGGTGATATTTTTTTTATAGTACTGGTTTTTCTATAATGATACTTTAATGATATAATTATGTTTGGCAAAATACATATGTGTAGCCAAAACTTTAACGGTTTTGCCAAATGTAGCCACTTTTGGCGAAATACCAAAAATAGCCAGAATTTTGAAAGTTTGATGACAATAATAGCCAATTCCGTTACATACTTTAACGGTGTCAGTGACACTGTTAGTCAAATTAACGGTCAGCTCATTGGGCTGCCAACTCACTGGACATGTCATCGACACCTCAATAATTGATGCCACGTATTATTTCAATTAAAATTTTAAATAAATAATTGTATTTGTATTTTTTTTAATCACAAAATTCAGTTGAAAAAAGAAATAAATCTGCAATCCCCTTTCATCTTCTTCCTCTCGCTGGGAACAGGGAGACTCAACCCCATCCATCCACCCACAAATCTCCTCCTTCCCACTCTTCCTGCTCCCTCCGTCAGGGAAACCCAAACTTCATCACACTTTCTCCACACTCCCCTTCACCCTCACTCTCTTCTCCACCACCACCATCCCCTCATCTGTCTCCTCCACCTTTGCAGCCTCCTCCACCCTTCTCCCGGACACCATCGCCTCCGCACTCCTCCACTACGCCACCACCAACGCTACCGCCCGCCACATGAACCCGGCCTAGCTCACCACCGGCGACTTCGGCTTACTAACATTTGGAGTTTGAAAAGCCGGACCGTGCCATGAGAAGCCCACAACTTCCGGATAGATCTAGAGAGTGGGAGAGATATGACGGAGCAACAACGGTAATCTAGAGCAAAGAGGGGTTATTCTTCACTGGTCGGGACTCGATGGCGGCGTAACCCAAGACCCTAACAACGACTTCATCAGATCTAAGAACTGATAAATTCGGTCAGCGAAGAGGGGTCGTTCTCTCCCTGATCGCGATTCGACGACGGCAGTAGCGGCGGAGACCAGGAACTCGACGAAGGATCATTCTCCCCCTGACCGAGATTCGACGGTGGCGGCGGAGTCGAGGAACTCACGATGCGCCTCGAATGTTGATGCTTTGGTATTTTTGGCTTGCAGATGGCGATCTATGTGGCGGTTGCTGTCTTTATTGAGAGAGGAATTGGGGAGAGGGATAGAAAAATCGGGGAGAGATAGAAGCTGATTGGAAAGAAAATTCTGGGAAGAGGGATGGACAAATCTGGGGAAGCTGGATAGGAAAGGGGAAATCAGTTGCAAAATGGAGAAAGATGGCCAAATTTGTATACTTCCGCAGATGGATTGTTGGAAGGGAAGCAGAAAAACAGCAAAGGGAGAGAAAATAAAAAATGTTAATTAATTTTTTAATTTTTTATTTAATTTCACATCACATTTTAATTGATTAAATATTGCCAGGTCAGCATTTCTGTTAGTCCAGTCAGCACGTTAGCTCACACCGTCAAAGAATTGAACGAAAGTGGTTATTTTTGATATTTCGTCAAAAGTGGCTATGTTTGGCCAAACCGTCAAAGTTTTGGCTACCTAAGTGTATTTTGCCATTATGTTTCAATAAACATGTATGGATGTAATATTGTTCTAAATATAATATCTTATAGGGTGCGCCTATGCCGACATGCATGTCACCCTAACTTGCACTTTTCGGTCGACCTCAGTTAGGATTAGGTGGACCTAATAAGTTGTTTCAGTGTAAAAACAGTTTCATGGTGTCTACTTTGAATATTCATATCTAACAATTGGCCCCATGAAAGTTGGAGATTAATGACATGTTTTGAAGCTGGAGTGTCCCTCTACACATTGAAGTGCTTGGGAGCTCGATAGGACGTCTGGGAAAGTGTTTGTAAAGCCTAGCTACTTTTGAGATTAATTCGAGAAGCATGGATGAGATTCGAGTCCAGGGGCCTCTACCACATGAAAGTAGGTATGTTTGTCTACAAAGTCAAGGCATTGGATGAAATATTGGATATCTGAAAGCACTGGAGGAGCTAGGTGAGGGGTTGTGGGGTTCATGGACCCCACTTGGAAAATGAACATACATTAAAAATGGTGGATTTTTAAGGTGGGGTTAATAAATTTAGAACCACGGACCCCTTCTTCCCGAGACAATGATTTTACTATCGAGACAAATTTCGTATTTGGTTATGTTTGGACCCCACTAAATTATATCTCTGGCTACGCCAATGTGACTGAAAGGGTTCAAACAAAAGGCTCGAAGTTGCTACGACGTAAGCTGTCTTCTTGCACAAGACTGAAACGACATATTAGGTCGACCACATTCTATATGAGATCGGCCTAAAAGTGAAAGTTACAGTTACATGCATGTCACTGTAGCAAAGTTCTATCTTATTATATATTCAACTAACATTACCCAGATATAATTTCAGAAAAAATGTGTATTATAAAAAATACCAATTTAACGGTGTAAACCGATTGAAGCTAGTTTGACAAATTTAGTTATTTTCGCTAAACATTATGACACCGTTAGAGACAGTATCAACAATATTATGGAAAAAATGTTAGTCCAATTAGCATTTATAATTGTGCTAATTTATGGGGGCTTTAGAAATTTAGAAATTTTTGGGAAAGAAACTCATGCTAGAGGTCGAGCTGTGGACGGATTCGTGGATTCCTGGTCATAAGTTGCATTTTAACATGTGGGCAAATCAGCACAACATATGTAACAAAAAGTAATAGTCGCCAAAGTGTTGAATTTTGGTCGGAACCTTTTTTGTGACCAAAAACTAGTGGTGAGCTTATGTCACATTTGCCCGTTAAGAAGACCATTTCTGATCAAATATTGGTTTTGGTCACGCTAAAGTAACTTTTTGAGACGAAAATGATAATGCAAACGACTTGCTTTTGCAGCTAATTAATTGTTTACAAAATATCTAAAATGGTCACAAGAAAAAACATGATTGGTAACAATTAATATGAAAACTATCCAATTCATGTCTCTTTTACCGACAATATGATTAAATCCCAAAAATCATTCACTACAACAATTATGGTCTATTATGACAGGGCCGGGACATCCATCAAAATTGCCAAATTGGTCCAACTTTTGTCATAATAACTCTCTTATGATAACAGCATGGATACAGACACCTGAGCAGAGTGCAGAAGTTAGAATTGATTGTCGGATCAAAGAGTGAAACCCAATGAACCCAATGTTCTGCTCATTATTAGGTTATTGAGCTTTCACTGTACTGTGGATCTAATTTTCCTAAAGGCTTTGACATGAACGCCATCAAATGAATGTTCAATATTTGCATGTGTGTTGCTGGGGATGGTTGCAGGAAGAGGCAACACCTATGGACTATGGAGTACTCCATGACCATGAACGCTGTCACAGAAGGGATCATTAGATTATTTTGAGTAGGCCATGTATCTTTGGATTATGTTTTGAATATTTATGGTAGTTAACTTGTTACCATGTAAACAATATGATGGAATATTAATGGGTATAGTGTATCGTATTTGACTACTATTGAGTATTAAGTTATACCAAGAATGATATATATGGGTCAGATTGGTGAACATCAGTCGTATATTATACGTTAGGTACTACTAGTGAGATATTGCTATCTAGACCATGAATTAAAGTGAGTTTCGCGTATGATACTATACCCTAACCTCTAATGGATAACCCCAGGCACCGATTTTCTAAACCCCAACCCGAAGTTTGATTTAATGAAAAACAAAAATTGACCGTTGAGATCGGCCGGAGCTCATCTAAGTGCATCTAACGGTTAGATCATCGGACGTATAGTATACACCTGACGTACACCAATCATTACCATATATATGTATATATATACATGTATATATATATGGTTCAGGCTAGCGTACGTCAGTCGTACATTGTACGCCTGTCGAGTTTTACTATTTGGAGCACGAATTAACCGAAAATTTGGGCATGATACTATACACTAACCTCTAATGGGTGAACCTCAATCCCTAATTCTCTAACCCGAGCCACAAGATTCATTTAAAAGATAATAACCGACGGTTCTGATTCAACAAAATATATTGAAGTGCAAAAACCAAATGTGAACACAGACGTACAACGTACGCCTGACGTACGCTAGCCTTTGTCATATATATATATATATATATATATATACATACATATGGTGCCTTTTACGGTACCTCGGGTAAATTCCGGGGTACCACATACCTCGAGTATGGAAACGCTATCTAGCTCTCGAATTAGCAGGATTTTTGGGCATGATACTATACCCTAACCCTTAATGAGTGAACCCCAGGTCCTCATTATCTAAATCATAAACTATAAACCCTAAGATGCTGCATTGATTTTTTTGTCTATATTTGGACGAATCATAACCGTCGATTATTGTTTCTAATTAAATTGATCAAGGGGTATAAGATGTAGAGAATTAAGGCCTAGATTTTGATCTTTAAGGGTTAGAGTATAGTATCATGTCCGAAAGATTAGTCAATTCAAGTTCTGGATAGCGTTTCCTCACTCAAAGTATGCGGTACC